ATGCCGAGCTAATCAAAATGACCACAGCTGATCACAGTTGAAAGTCAAATGGCTTTGTGTGCCATTGAGAAGGTGATTAGCTACAACTGATTGAGTTTACAAGTCATTTTTAGGAGGGGGGTGAACCTTTTTCCAACCGTGATTCTGTTTTTTTTTTTGGTTTTTTTTCTGACATGTTGGTGTTATATCTTTCGCTTGGAGTAAATCCAGCTGGATAAAACAAAAACTGTGTCCATCTTCATTTCAGGCTGTAAAGCAACAAAATAAGAAATGTAAAATCTACTTGTATCCAGTATATGCAAAGTTTGATGGTGAAGATGTCAACATGAGTTTGTAGGCAACTACTAAAGCAGTAGCTAGCGTTCAGACAGAACACTGTGAAAATTCAAGCCTGTCTATGCTAACAGTAAGCCTCTGTGCGATACGCTGAATGAGAAGCAGGTGTAACCGATCAGGTGTGTGTGTGTTTTGAGGGAGAGGGGAGGGATAATATGTAGTATAAAAGAGGATTTGTTCTTCTGTCTCATTCCAGAAAATGCCCTCGCTATGAATTAACAATACAGACCTCTATCAGAGAGATGTCACTTCACCAGCTACACTCACTCACTCACTCACTCACTCACACAGTTAGTTATTTGATTGCACATGCTAGACAAGAGTTAATTACATTTTTAATAGAGTTAACTGGAACATTAACTGAAAAAGCCTGAAGAATACAGGTTTTTAACATGATTTGCGCTAAAGAAGTTATTACAGATTTGAAATATGCTATTGAAACATGTTTTTTTTCCCCCAGTGGATGAACCATAAAAACGTTGACAGCCAGAATCCATACTGCTTTAAAGAGCTTGAGCATTTAAAGTGACAGACGACATAACTACAGCACACACTTATTTTAAAAAAAAATGTTATTGTACATTTATTTGGAGGCTAATATAGTTATTGTTATAGTTATCTTTATAGTTCTTGGTGTGAATGGCCTTTTAGGCTACAGATAGTTCCTTCAGTCATTTGCAGGATTGCTTGCTAATGTTACACTTTTTGCTCTCGGATTCTTCCTGTAGACCTGTTTGATAACTACATGCAGCAGGACGCCCACGAGTTCCTGAACTACCTGCTGAACACAGTGGCTGACATCCTGCAAGAGGAGAAGAAACAGGAAAAACAGAACGGACGGCTAAAGAACAATGGCACTGCCATCGCCACGGACACTGAGCCAGAACAGAACAAGGCCGAGCCCACCTGGGTTCACGATATCTTCCAGGGCACGCTGACCAATGAGACGCGCTGTCTCAACTGTGAGACGGTATGAGTGTTGCTATGTGAAATGTTTGCTTCGTACACAAATGCAAATATTGGTGAAGTGCAGTTCTGTACTTCAGTTTACATACCCCTCGCAGAATCTGCAAGATGTTTATAATAATAAAAAGAATGATCTCATAAATTATTGTTTTGTATTTTGTTATTTTATTTATTGTATTATTTCGTTTTTATTTAATACAGCAATGGAAGCCCGTTTCTGCGAATGGATTAAAAAAATAAAGCTAATTGTGACTTTTTAACACAAAATTATGGGATATAAACTCATAATTTCAAAACTTAAACTTAGTCGCAATTACCTTTTTTTATTCCATGAAGCAAATCTCAGAATTGTAAGATAAACTTGGAATTCAGAGAAAACAAGGGCCAAATTCTGATTTTATATCTTGTAATTCTGTTTATTAAAAAAAAAATCTGAATTATAAAGCAATAAATAGAATCAAGATAATTTGTTTTTAATTATCATTAATCTTTTTTTCTTTTTCTTTTTTTGTCTTGCAGAATATTCTGCCATATGTTTTGCAGCGTCTTCAGGGACATAGTAAATAAATAAAATGTCATATTTAAAAATTAAATGTATAATAATCACTTTTTATGACTTTTTAATATTAATAAAAATAATTTATAATTTTAAAAAATCTAAACATCTGAATTCTGCAAGGGATATGTAAATGTATGAGCAAAGCTGTATTTCATTTTCAAAAAATGAATTCTCTTCTGTTAGCCACAAAATTATCAAAATTATCGTGAGTGGTCTTATACAACGACATTCGGCCAATCATTTGAACTTTGCAGTGTCTCTACTGTGTGGCCCACTTTTCAGTCTTTTCTTTTGATTAACCAACCTTTTCTTTGCATTAACACATTGCCACTAGACTACAGTTGAGTGCTAACATGCTGTCACACGTCTGTGCTTTAACACATCCTCGCTTGTGTCTTTCTACAATACCTGCAAAACAACAGGAGACAATCAGGTCAACAGAGTGCAACCCATTCACCTTAAACAACTGAAACTTTTCTTAGAAAAGATTCGCCAACATGCGTGATAAACATCTTTGCAGAAATTAGTTCCCGCTAACTCTCTGCCCCTTGAAGATGCTTGACAACTAATATTGTCCCTGTGGGTGGCGAGATCTCCGTTTCCGAAGAGATGTTTTCTCTTCTTTCCCAACACATAAGTGCTTTGTGAACTCACACGCCCTTTGTTTTTACAGGTCAGTAGCAAGGATGAAGACTTTTTGGATTTGTCTGTAGATGTTGAGCAGAACACTTCAATAACACACTGTCTCAGGTAAACATATACACACTGTATATAACATAACAGTAATCGCACATGCTGATGTACACAACCAGTTGTTTTCCTCAGTGTTCATGGCCTTTGATAGATGTGTTTTGTCTGATGGTTTTTACAGGGGCTTCAGTAATACAGAGACCCTGTGCAGTGAGTATAAATACTACTGTGAGATGTGCTGTAGCAAACAAGAGGCACAGAAACGGTGAGCGTCAATGTGTCAGAAGGTTATTGATATAGTGTTGTAGTGCATGTAACAATACAGTTAACAAAGTACTCTGGCTCAGCTGTGAAAATGCATTGGTGCTGCTTTATACACTATAATATGAATGTATACGTACCAGTGATTTTTTTTTTTATGATCATGTGTGTATTTATTGTAGTATGCGTGTGAAGAAGCTGCCCATGATCCTGGCTCTTCATCTGAAGCGCTTTAAGTACATGGAGCAGCTGCATCGGTACACTAAACTGAGCTATCGTGTGGTCTTTCCACTGGAGCTCCGCCTCTTCAACACCTCTGGAGACGCAGTCAACCTCGACCGCATGTACGACCTCGTCGCTGTGGTGGTCCACTGTGGCAGGTATGAGAACTGTCAAACATGTACGTCTGCAACATATAAAAACAAACTGTCTTAACACAGTCTGCCATGTAGGTACATTAAGTCATATGTTATAAATACTGACCATATAAGCAGTCTCAACAAACTGCAAATATATTTGCCATAGTGTGAAAGTACACTATTATGGTAATGTTTTTCTTTAAGAATAAAGCAGAATAAATTAATCAGAAAAGAGAAATGTTAAAAAATGGTGAAATTTATGGTGAAATATTTAAAATATAAATTGATTTCCTTCAAAAGTTTAAACACTGCCTCTGTAACTGTGTGTATTAGTGGCCCAAACAGAGGGCATTACATCACCATCGTGAAGAGTCACGGTTTCTGGCTGCTGTTTGATGATGACATTGTGGAGGTATGAACCTTATATACATATATATATATATATATATATATATATATACATATACATATACATATCTATTCAAAAGTTTGGGGTCAGTGGGATTTTTTAAAGAAATTAATACTTTTCACAAGATTTCAGCAAGGATGCAAGAAATTGATCAAATGTGACAGTAAAGAAATGTATAATGTTATAAAAGATAAGAAGTTTTACAGTTTCCACAAAAATATTAAACAACACAACTGTTTTCATAATTGCTAAAAATAAGAAATGTTTCTTGAGCAGCAAATTAGCATATTAGAATGATTTCTGAAGGATCATGATGCTGAAAATTCAGCTTTGCGTCACAGGATTGAATTACATTTTAAGATATATTCAAATAGAAAACTGTTATTTTAAATTGCAATAATATTTAACATTTGTACTGTATTTTAGATCAATAAATGGAGCCTTGGTGAACGAAAGAGTCATCTTTCAAAAAAATTTAAAAAAAACTTACCCCCAAACCTTAGAATGGTAGCATACAGTCAAAATATAAATCCTAATGCATGCAGAATACAACGCTCCTCTTTTCTGCTTTTTCTCACCATTTTTTTCTCTATCTATTCCATTTCTCTCACAGAAAATTGATGCACAGGCGATAGAGGAGTTCTACGGTTTGACTTCTGACATTTCCAAGAACTCTGAGTCGGGATACATCCTGTTCTATCAGTCCAGAGAATGAAGGAGCAGAGGAGGAACAAATGAAGAGCAGAAGAGGAGACCAAAAGGAAGGGTATATGTGAAGATGATATCCGCTAGATTCCTTTTCCACATCCCTCTCCTTTTCCTCATCTCATTCTCAGGGTCTCCAGCTGAGACTGAGTTGCCAAAAGCCCTCTGTAACCCCATTTGCCAATATGACATTGCCCAAAAGTTCCATTCTCCCAATCTCGCTGCACTCTGTGGGGGGAAAAAGATCTTCAAATCTGACCCTCAAGTTAGTCACCTGCATCTGGAAGGCACTTTATAAATAAAAACGACAATAAGTAACACAAAAGCAACACAACAAAAAAATCACAACATATTCAACTACAATACTTGTGGAATCAAACTTGAAGGAATCAAAAAGCTACAAAAAGAGCAATGAGTCCTGGTATTCTAGCAAGAGTCACTGCTTCTGTTTGTTTAGTGCCCAGGAAAGTGACTCTCATCTTGGGTATCTGAAACCAGGAGGAGGGTTTCTCTCTCAATCTCTGGCTTAAGGTCAGGGAGCCATTTCGGGTCCCTTTAGATGTTTCATACTGTGATGTCTACTCATCAGTCCTCCTTCATACGACTTTTACCCAGTAGCTGGTGAATCCACACATCCTAGTTCAGTCCTGGTCATCGCAGGGGCTGTTTGCACTGTGTAACAATTTGTTTTGGATTTTGGGATGTTGTGGGAATTAGATTATGATTCTGAGTGGTCTGTTAGATGAGTGTGTGTGTGTGTGTGTGTGTGTGTGTGTGTGTCTGCATTTAGTCATGCAGGCAGCTGCTGTGAAGTGACTTTGCTTTTCATCCAGAAATAGTTGCAGACTTGTTACCGAGAGAGTTTTCAAAAGTTGTCCTATTGAATTCTCTGCTCTCTTCCAGTAACAAAGAAAAAGGGCAGAACTGCAAGGCTGAAATGCTGCTTTTGTCTCCTTTCCATTCTTATCTATCACTGTTGTTACCTTCCATTGTAGGTAATGGCCTTACATAGACACGTGTGTTAACAACCTTGCAGTCAGCTCTTGTTGTTAAGTTCACCCAAATCTGCCGGTCCCAACTGACTTCATCCCACAAAGCATTCTGCTTCAATCTCACATCTAGTTCCTGCTTTAGTTACTCCAGGTGGGTTGAATCCATCTATTTTTCTCCTAAATAGATGTTGTAACTTGGTCCCTGGTCATTTTTTTAAAGCAAAATGATGTGGCATTTCATTTTATCATTACTTTTAGGTGTTAAAGGTATAGTTCAGGGGTGGCGAACTCCAGTCCTGGAGAGCCGCAGCACTGCAGAGTTCAGCTCCCACCCTAATTAAAACTCACCTGCCTGTAGCTTCCTAATAACCCTTCAGACCTTGATTAGCTTGTTCAGGTGTGTTTGATTAGGGTTGAAGCAAAACTCTGCAGGGCTGCGGCTCTCCAGGACCGACGTTCGCCACCCCTGGTATAGTTCACCAAAAATGAACATTTGCTGGAAAGTTTACTCATCCTTACGCCATCCAAGATGTAGATGAGTTTGTTTCTTCATCAGAACAGGTTTGGAGAAATTTAGCATAACATCACTTTCTCACCAATGGATGCTCTGCAGTGAATGGGTGCCAGCAGCTGATTAAAGACATCACAATAATCCACAAAAACTTGTGACAACTTGTGAAGTGTAAACATGCAAGAATGAGTTTGCAAGAAACAAATCCATTATTAAGATGTTTTTAGTTTCAAAACATTGCTCTAGTGCAGTGGTTCCCAAACCTGTCCTGGAGGACCCCCTGCCCTGCACATTTTTTATGTCTCCCTAATCAGACACACCCAATTTAGTTCTTGCAGTCTCTACTAACAAGCTGATGAGTGGAATCAGGTGTGTTAGATAAGGGAGACATACAAAAGGTGCAGGGCAGGGGGGCCTCCAGGACAGTCTAGTGAAAATGGGTAATGCTGCGTTCAAGCCCTCCTGGGACGTTCGTACTTATGAGTTGACAAATCATAATTACGACATCAGGTGCATTCAAGTCACTTTGGTTGGAACATGGTGGCAATTTAACTTTTCTACATAAAATTCAGCTTTTTAAACTCTACATCTACAAAATGATGAATAAAGATCATTGTGTTTTTGCTTTTTTCTGTTTTTATTTCATTTTTGAAGGTGATATAAACTGAATCCTTTTAATAAATTACAAGAAAATACAACAGGGTCTGCATTTTTTTTACTTGAATTTCATTAACTAGCTGCGTAACAAGAACATGACCAATTAAACTATCAATTTAAACAAAAATTTACCGTCAACTACAGACGTTGCATCCATCGATTCCGCCATGTTTCTCATTCACACGCCCCCAACTCGGAAACTCGGGGCTTAAAGAAAATTACGTAATAACGACTTTGTGGTGGCGTTCATGTGCGTTCAACTCGTAAATACGATCTATCCGACATGACTTGAACGCACCATAAGATCAAGCATAGTTTACAAGTCAAAACAGTTCTAAACAAATATGTTGGTGAATTTTGATGTCAGGACAACAGGGGATGGAAGCGTTATTTTATCTGGAAGCAACAGTTTGAGTTTAATTATTACATTATTATTACAAACACGCAGCTTTTGCGTCACACGACATTAATTTATAGACTGGAGTCACATGGATTACTTGAGGATTATTGAGATGTTTTTATCAGCTGTTTAGACTCTCATTCTGACGGCACCCATTCACTGCACAGGATCCATAGGTGAACAAGTGATGTAATGCTGAAAATCTGTTCTGATGAAGAAACAAACACATCTACATCTTGGATGGCCTGAAAATTTTTATTTTTGGGTGAACTATTCCTTTAATACATGAAAGTTTTGGACACAGATGTGAGATCAGTGGTAGTAGAAACTTGAAATGCACCAGTCTTGAATGTGGTCAGTAAAGTTTAGGTTTAGGTCTTATCGAAGTATCTGATAGGTCGTTGCTGTTACGATAGGAACATGCGCACAATTATTTCAACTTTGTGATATGAGTGGCATTTATTTGAGAGGGCTTTTACTATTTAATATATGTTGTAGAGTCAGGAGAGAATCTGACTTCAGGTAAATGGGGAACTTTATAGAAGGCGATACGGAAACATACTGATAATCCTGATTTTTAACATTTAATTTTGTATATAAATGGGAGAGATTGACTTGAAATGGTCACCGAAGGGAGACAAGGTGCGATACAGGGACAAGATGAACATTCCAAACTCATTTTACACCAACGTTACTACACTTTGTTTTTTTATATATAATAAACTAAGCTTATAGAAACACTAACAACTTACTCCCGTTTATTTAGTGTATAGCTTTTTTTATGTTTTTATTTTAGGCAAATGTATAATTGACCATTTTATTCTCTCAGAAATTTTGTAAAATGGTTCCTCAGAGTCACCATACTCTGAGTAAAAGTAGCTCACAACTGAAATACATGATTTATTTGCCTTTTTTGTCCATTCACAGCACATTCAGTGTAACAGTAGAGTAAGTGATTAGACAAAAAAAACTGGTGAATAGATTTTATGATGTTGATTCATCCATTCTAGGTCTGTGGTACCTGTATCTTCACACTCCTCAAACAACATTATAATGTGTAATTATATATTAAAGCCACACTACATGCAATATAGATGTATGAACACTGTGTAACAACTGTGTGAGATTGACTATGCAGTGTTTGTGTTTGTCCTGTTGTTCCCTGAGGCTTGACAAATGCTGACTGATTATTTGGACGGTTCTTTCACTTGTAGTTTCCCAGTGATGCCAGCAAAGTGCTGTTTCTCAAAAAGTGGAGCATATGTGGTTGTTTGAATCTGTTTTATTGGTACTAAGACCACATTTCTCTTTAATGCCTGTTCTTTTGGTTGGTTTGCTAGTGATCAAAATCAACAGAAATGTGCCAAAATTGGGGTGGGAAACACACAGTCCTTCGAACTGGAAAAAGAAACGGATATTTCTGTGTCATGAAACTGTACATAAATATTATGTAGACATATTGGTCAGAAATAAATTATATTTTTTTTAAAACTAGATGATTCTATTCAAATTGACCTATTATTCGCATGGGGATGTCATGGTTAAAAATGAAGAAATTAAAAGCTGATGAGTGTTTGTCAGAGATGGTTTGATTTCAGTCAGGTCCTGGATCATTTTGAAGTTTGTTCTGTAGAGTAGCCTAACCTAAAAGTACTGTAACTGCTTAATACTGTTGATTGAATCCCCACACACACATAAACATGAACATCTGGATATGTTAAGATCCACCTATTAGACTGTAACTTTTCACAGTTACACACCTTGTATGCAAAAACACACCTGTCTGTTTTGTCTTCTTTTAATGTGTGTAATTTTATAGGTCCAGAAAAGAGATGTACAATGTGTGTGTTTGTGTGTCTGAGTGAGAAATACCAGGACTCAAACGCTAACGGAAAGTGTGATAACTGCAAGTGCACTTTATCATAGCAGAACCAAAAAGGTTTCAAAAAGGAACTGGAATCCTGACTGAGATTCTTTTGGTTTATTTTCCTTTCCTCAATAAATGAAACGCAACTTTACCAGCTGTGGCTCAGCAGTGCTTTTTATTCATTTGTTTCTTTGTTTGTTCTCCATGTGTTCCTTTTAATTTAGTTTCTGCTTTTTTGTGGCTGACACACATCTTTTTATTTTCCTCTTCGGGGTGACTAATAAGACAGAACATGACAATGTGGTACAAAGACACAAAAGGCTGTAGGCAGAGAGCAGGAGGGAGAGAGAGTGAAAGCTGAAAAGGATAGACTCGTCGAACGATTGAAATGATGAGAAATGAAAAGCTTGTTTACGGAAAGTCCTTTATGTGCCTAAAATGCTGATGCATCAACAGCAACAAACATCTTTAGGGATTTCCTGAAGGAGATGTTTGACTTCCTGTGTGTGTGTGTGTGTGTGTGTGTGTGTGTGTGTGTAAAAGCATGGCGCATGTGTGACGTCTTTACGCACAGTAAAATAAAAGAACACCTGCGACAGCAAGTCGGAGAGAGTAAGGAGTCGTGTTCTTCTAGATAATCAATGTCTTGTTTTTGTGTGTGTGCGTGTGTTGTAAGACCCCAACAGATGCGTGAACATGTATGCATCACAGTATGTGTGTCACATGCTGATCAGCATGAAAACTGGTGAAGTGTTTGTGTGTGTGTGAGAGAGAGAGAGAGAGAGAGAGAGAGACAGTCCTTGACAAATCTGTTTCTTTTATACTTCGCCTTGTTTGTGGAACATAATCTGGTTTAATCAAGCAACGCTCTTTCATATTCCTGTGTGATGGAGGGATGTGCTTTTGTTCTCCAGCTGTCTGCTGTCTTTTCACCTGACACTCTCCACAGCTAGAGGGGGAGCAGGGATAGTTGTAACACTCACTAAATGTAACATCAGGGGAAAAAACTGCACTCACAGTGACTGCATTGGGTCTGTACATGCACAATTCAGTCCTCAACCTAAGCAATGAGTATCTCGGATATTAAAAATAAAATAACCAGTAAAATATTTAGTACATTTTTGGTTTTAGAGTAATAATATGTGACCCTGGACCACAAAACCAGTCATAAGGGTCAATTTTTTGAAATTGAGATTTATGCATCACCTGAAAGCTGAATAAATAAGCTCTCCACATTGATGTATGGTTTGTTAAGATAGGACAATATTTGGCCGAGATACAACTATTTGAAAATCTGGAATCTGAGACGCTCTTTCATATTCCTGTGTGATGGAGGGATGTGCTTTTGTTCTCCAGCTGTCTGCTGTCTTTTCACCTGACACTCTCCACAGCTAGAGGGGGAGCAGGGATAGTTGTAACACTCACTAAATGTAACATCAGGGGGAAAAACTGCACTCACAGTGACTGCATTGGGTCTGTACATGCACAATTCAGTCCTCAACCTAAGCAATGAGTATTGCGGATATTAAAAATAAAATAACCAGTAAAATATTTAGTAAATTTTTGGTTTTAGAGTAATAATATGTGACCCTGGACCACAAAACCAGCCATAAGGGTCAATTTTTTTAAATTGAGATTTATGCATCACCTGAAAGCTGAATAAATAAGCTCTCCAAAACCAGCCATAAGGGTCAATTTTTTTAAATTGAGATTTATGCATCACCTGAAAGCTGAATAAATAAGCTCTCCATTGATGTATTGAAAATCTGGAATCTGAGGGTGCAAAAAAAATCTAAATATTGAGAAAATCATCTTTAAAGTTGTCCAAATGAATAGCAATGCATGTTACTAATCAAAAATTAAGTTTTGATATATTTACGGTATATCTTCATGGAACATGACCTTTACTTAATATCCTAATGATTTTTGGCATAAAAGAAAAATTAATAATTTTGACCCATACAGTGTATTTTTGGCTATTGCTACAAATATACCCCAGCGACTTAAGACTGGTTTTGTGGTCCAGGGTCACTTATTATTTATAACAAATTATGCATCATTT